AAGAGATGAGGGGGGAGCAAGGGCCTGGGTGGCTTCAACTCCCTTGGGGAGAAGGACTCTCCCCAGCAGCTGGGGTGAGGGAGGAAGAGCTGGGGCCAGGGTGGCCTCGGCCCCAGGCTCTTCCTGGTGGCCGGGGGGAGAGCAGGTCCGGGCCTGGCTTTGTCTGAACACCCTGGCAGCTGAAGGGAGCAAACTAGGCCAGCTGCAGCCTGGGCTGGGACCAAGCCCCGCAACAGCTGATGGGGGGAGAGCTGGGGCTGGGCTGGCCTGGCTTGTGGGGTCACAGCAGCAGGAGTGGGGAGCCAGGGTTGCCTGCCCCCAGAGAGGGGGGTTGGTGAGCACAGCGAGCAGGGGGCACCGCCCCCTTGTATCTTTTAAAATAAATTATCTCTCACTTTTCAGAATGGTCTCTGCCCAACCCCATAGAGGGTGTAATTCAACCTAGTTCTGTTAGTTGGAGAGAAAAGGCGGAAAACGTGAAGTGACCACAACCCAAAGGCTCAGAAAATGAGAGGTCCATAAAAAGAACCCGTTTGTTTAAACTCGCCTACATTTTGAAGGCTTGCCTCAGGATTTTCCAGTGAGTGGGTGGTTTGGGGGTGTCTCTACGGGGGGTTAATTCCCTCCCCAACCTGTTGTCACAGGGTCTGTCCCTGGGATTTGTGCCTCCTGGGCCTTTTGCTGCAGTTGATGCCTGGTTCTCCAGGGGTCTCCCCGCAGGTTAATGCCCCTGGCCAAGGTACAGGAGCGCTCCTTTAGGCTGCAGTGCCGGGGGCTGGCGGTAGGGGGCGCTGTGGCCCCGGCGCTGCCAGAGTTTCAAGTCACTACAATTCGTCTCAAGTCGAGTCTCGAGTCCCTAAAGTCACTTTCAAGTTAAGTCCCAAGTCGAGTCTCAAGTCTTAATTTAAAAAATGTCAAGTCACTTTTGTACAAGCCATCAATATCGGCATTTTTGGACAATTTTTTTACCAAGTCGATTTAACAAAATTAGGAAGTCTCAAGTCGAGTCTCAAGTCAAAAACAATGAATCCGAGTCAAGTCTCAAGTCGAGTCTCCTAGGTGACTTAAATCGGACTCGAGTTCAAGTCATGGGACTTGAGTCAACAACTCTGTGTTACGTCACTGGGGGTATGTCTACAATGCAGACGTTTTTTCAAAAAAACAACCGTTTCTCTGAAAAAATTTCACTTACATCCACACTGCACTTGTGTTCTTTCAAAAAAAAAATCGAAAGAACAGAGGGGTTTTTCCAACATTGGTAAACCCCTTTCTACTAGGAAGAAATCTTTTTCTGAAAGAGCTCTTTCGGAAAAAGGCATGTGTGGACGGGGAAGAGGTATTTCTTTCGCAAGAAGAGGAAAGAGGAAAAAGCACATGTGCCCTGGTGGCCGCTCCGTCCATAGTAATCACAGCTGAAATGCGAGAAAGTGTTCATTCAGTGTGGACACTCTCTTTCGAACTGCGTGTCGGTCCCCTGGCGGAATCACCCGAGTGTAGTGATAGAAATGTAGCCGTGTTAGTCTGGGGTAGCTGAAGCAAAATGCAGGACAATGTAGCACTTTAAAGACTAACAAGATGGTTTATTAGATGATGAGCTTTCGTGGGCCAGACCCACTTCCTCAGATCAAAAGTGATGTGTGTCTCTGGGAGCACCCCCCTGGCCAGACATTCCCTTCTCTCTGGGGCTCCGTTCTGTGCTGTCCCAGATATACCCGACTGAGACGGATGAGGCTGTCAGGGACATGTCCTAACTGTGTCCTTAAACATTTCTCTGTGTCTCGCTGTTGTTTTGCACACCCTGGCGCTTTTACAGGCATTTGAATGTAACCGTCGGTGAAGCGCTGGCCCTGTGAAGTATGTGGCCTACACATGATGGTTAATTGTTAGTCACTCAACTTTTCTGTTGTTGGCAAGGAGATGAGAAAAGAGGAGTCTGTAGGCAAATTTCAGAGTCAGCTTGCTCATTTTTTCCTCTCCGCTTTGCATAGCTCTGGAGTCAGGCTCGGGTGATTTCTGCGGTTAGGAAGATGCTTTCTGCCTTGTTCTGAACTTGGATGCATAATTGAAAAACTCCATGCATCTGGGGAAGTGTATTTGGGCATAAGCTTTTATAGGTAAAAACAACATCTCATTGTCTTTAAGATGCCATAGGAATCTTTGTTGTAATTGAAAAATACTTACACACAAAATCTCTGTACTCCTGGAAATCATGTCAGGTTCTCAGTTATCATTTGAGATGGCTGAATGCCCTCTGCCTTTCCATGTAGTGTAAGTGGTATATTTAAAGATTCAATTAGTGTTTTGCAATTAAACAGTGCATTTATTTAGTTTAATTATGCTGCATTTAATTAGCAAGAAAAATCAGTGTTGAGTTTTTTCTTTATAAGGAATAGCTAAATAGTTTCATGTAAATAAGGTACATGTGTGTGAGTGAGAGAGAGAGAGAGAGAGAGAAGTATAATCTTCACCTTCAGTAGTCTTTGGCTAGGCATTACCCTTTTAACAAAAGAGCGAAAGTTGGTGGCAGTGATTTCAGTTTTTGATCATTCAAATTCATTTTGTTCTTGTTTTGGAGCTGTCTTGTTTCAGAATACGTTTTCGTGTGAAATGGTTTTGGAGTGGCCCCAAAGAATCAGTGAATTTAATTGCCTGCTAGCCAGCTTTTAATACAGTATATAGGGTTGGAGAGATGCCTCAATTCTAAGTTTCTGTCTGACTAGTGTGCATCGCATCATAGAACAAATGTGATTCCAGAAATACCATATGTTAATCCATGCATGATTTCCCTGTGACTTCTTCCCTAGCATCACAGCAAAATGCTACATTCTGGGATTCTGCATATGCTTATTAGTGTATTGGTGATGTTCATCTCAGGTTAACTAGGTAAGATTTGAAAGTGTTAGCACACACAGCTGTGAGGCTGGTTCCAAAGGAATTGGCACGTGCTTATACCAGTGGTGAATTTGACTCATGATCTTCATAAATATTGATAGTAACATAGGCAGCAGTAACTACAGTTGTATAAGCAAATGATCCCATTTTGTTTACTCATGTGCAGTAAATTACTGCACTGTCAGAATAATTACTGTAACTCAAGAGCAACAAAAGTAGCAAGAGGAGTTCATACAAGAGAGATGAATCTGTCTGCAGAGAGCAGCAAGTGCAGTGCTGCTCAATAAATAGAGAGGCTAACCATATTGTACCAAATGCAGATGCCAGGCAAGCATTAAGCCTTACCTGGCAATGTGCTGAGCATCCATTGAAGAGCCTAGAGCATCTTGCAGGATCCTGGCCCTGCACAAGTACTGTAAAATGTGAAATAGCAAGAATGCAGTGGGTGAAGCCTTCATGCGGAAGCATTCAGGAGATTTTAGCAGACATGTAAACTTGGTAAGGAAGACCATAATTCTGAAATTGTCCTCCTGGATCAACTGTTTATAGTTCCACTTCTCCAAGGAAAAAATCTTTGATAGAAAATCCACTTCTAAGTCAAATCAGGAGACTTAGAGGCCAGCCACTTCAATATTGTATATTCATGGTGGAGAGGGTACACATCATCAATGTAGAGCTTAATTAATAGTGTAACTTAATAAACATAGTCTGTGACATTGCAGTAGGGTAGGGATAAAATTTCTCTCCGAAGTGTACAATAGCAAAGGTGCTGACTTTCTCTGCAGCCAGGGGACTTGACACACACTCCCGCCAGTCCCTGTCCCTGCCTTCACATCATCCCTTCCCCCAAGACCCTGCCCTATCTCTTCCTGTCCCAGTCCTGTCCTCACCCTGCTTCCATTCCACCCCTTCCCCCAAACTCTTCCTCCTCCCCCACCCTTCTGGGATTTCCTGACGGTCATAAATCAGCTGTTTCTGGCAATCCAGAAGCACTGGGAGGGCAGAGAAGAAGTAAATCAGTGGGTCCACCAGTGGGCAAGAGTGTGAGTGATTGCGTGTGTGGGGGGGGAGGGGGGAAGACCTTTCCTCATGAATGCTCCAGCCCTGGAGCACCTACAGAGTCAGCACCTATGACAGCAGATAAATGTATACTGAACCATATAGCCGGTTAAGGCCTGCACTTCATGGTAGACATTCTTATGAGAATGCCAATACATGATAGATCCATTTACATTGCAAATTAAATATGAAGTTGCCAGATAAGGAGTGGTACTGGATATCTTCAAAGCTGGCTTTGGCTTTGGCTTTGAATGACTTTCTAACTATCCATACTGAGTGGAAGGGAGAGAACATATGTCCAGTCTGGCTGGGAAAAAAGAAGATTATCTTACCTTTGGGCGTAAGTGGGGGTCCATCTTATTTCTAAGATAAGAGGACGTTATCTATCCCAGAAACCATTAAACTGTAGCTTGTTGTCTGCATTTAATAAAAACTAATAAGAAACAATAATAGATAACTGCCATCCTGTTGGCCAAGGAAGAGTGGACAAGTTTCCCTCTGGAGTTTGTCAGTACCACTAGTTAATGAAACCAGGTCACTAGAGCAATTCAGAGCACTGCCTTGGAGCCAAGGGGAGCTGTGGGAAGCTGCAAATGACGAAACAGAGCCAATAGGAGATGGGAGGCTCTGTGGCTGCGGTGCTAGTAAGTAAACGAACCAGCACGGCCAGTTAACATGTTTCTCAAAGTGGTTTCATGCACCACTTTGAGAAATATTGCCTTAGGTCTCCAAGACTTCCTTAAAGCAAATCCTCTGTGTTCTCCATTTCAAATAAGAAAATACACATTAGACAACTGTTCTCTTCCTTTTTCCAGTTGTGTGTTTGCAGCTTTTAACCTTGACTTTCAGTAAATAGTTACAGTAATTCCAGGGTTACTTTAGTTTTTGTTCGTATGGAGTCTGTTGCAAATGTGCCAAATGTAGCACCACAATCCCAGACTCTAGGCTAGGCTACTTCACCCCATTGCTCCAGTCAGTATTGCAATCTTGACATAAAAATCAGAATAAGGTTGCTGTGAAAGAGCTGAGAGAGCCTGCAGACTCTGCTTGATTTGTTTATTACCATGGATGAATTCATGAACTTATTTATCTGGCAGATCACAGACTCCAGGGAGCTGAATTATCTGGAATCCTTCAAATCTCAGAGGAAAAAAAAGAGCAGTAAGATAGTCAAACCTTGGCCTAGAAATCAAAAATTCTGTGAACAAGGTCTGTGTGATGGGTTCTCTATTAGAAAACATGGGTTTCAATAGTTTGAATGAAACTTTATGCCAGGTTATTGTTATCTTCCGTGCATTCTTGAATTCTTAACCTTAACTTTGTTTAGGAAGCTCTTTAATACCCTCTATACATTTGTCTTTTTCAGAAGCATGTTGTTGGGATATAGGGACAAATTGTTTTGTGGTGATTGTGTTATCTGAGGGCATGAAAACTTTAGCTCAGCACTGACTGCAGGTATTTTTTTACAGAAGACTAAGTCATCAAACATCCCTGTCTTCAGCTTTTATATCTATAAGAAGTTCAGTAAAGATGTAAAATCTCCTGGTTTTTAACCCGTTTAACCTGAGCATAAATGTTCACAGGAAATCCTAAGATAACCTTTCTTATGGGAACTAAATAAAAAGACATAACACAATGCAACTGGCATGAATTTAAACATCCTGATTAGAACTTATTGTTCAGCCAGAGTCTTTCACATTGAATTATGCCATTTTGAATCATGCATATTTGAATGGTGGAGTATTGAGATTAAATTTCCCGGTACATTACATTTTGCCTACTAGATCATTTGAAAAGTGAATTCATAACTAACAAATATTCTTCTGCCTTTAATCATCTTTTCATCATTCTGTCAATCTGGAAATCATCCCATCTTGACTCTTTGTTTTCATGTCTGTATAATCTTTCACATTGCATTGAATTGTATTTCGATGGATTTAGTGGGCAGATGTTTCTCTCTCTTTGTATCATTCTACCTAATTCCCAGATATCAAGGAAGATTTTCAAGTTAGTTAGAAATTCTGCATTTGACCAACTATGATATATCAGGTGAATCTAGTTAGTTAGAAATTCTGCATTTGACCAACTGTGATATATCAGGTGAATCTGGGCACCACTGAGAGGGTCAAATCAGGATGAATTACTCAGAACTAGGGCTGCTTACAACCCAAGACTGGGGTTCACTTTTATAAGACCCCAAAACAGTCACACGCAGCACTTCCATTGCCACCCTAGCCAGCAAACAGTTTCACAAGCAAAACCCCTCAGACGCCTCAGCATCCCTTATGCCACAACCTGCACCACACTTGACACAAGTGAATGGTTATAAAACCCAATCTCACCAATTCTGAACAGATTCTCCCAATCCCAAAGGATCAGCTGCAGTCCCAGGTCAATTTATACCTCAGATCTTACCCAAAAGAGCATGCTGTGCCAGTCCTTTAGAATCTCACATCTAATTGTTAGCGAGAATACATTACATACATCAGTCACCAAATTCTTGATACAGGCTTAGCAGAGATGTAACAAACTTCTAGCGTAAAAGTCTCTGGTACACATCCTATGGTAGGATGGGTCAACAGGTCCTTTCTGGCTTCTGTCCATGACAAGGATGCTTCTGGAATCAGGAACAGGATTGAAGACAAGATGGAGACACCCTCGTGATACTTTTATAATCTTGCCCGTGCAGAGTGAAAACCCATTCTTCTTCTGGGTGCTAGTGCCTTCCAAAATGGGCTGATCACATGACCCACAAACCAGTTTCTGTTCTTTTAAGGCAAGGAGCCATGATGTCCTCAGGTGTGTTCTTCTCAGGCAAGTGTGCTTCTGAAGTGTTAATTGGTAGTACTTAAGAGCCATTGTCCATGCAGCATTGAGCAACTGTCCCTCCCAGTAGAAAATGTGTAAAATATAAATACAAAGCCTATATTCATAACGCCATACACACAGATTGTACAAGTGCACGAGTAGCCTTGACAGAGTCAGCATAGCATAAGCTTTCATTTGACACATCACATGGTCCACTTCATTCCAGATTTGGGGCAAACACACACATCTGCCTACTCATATTAAAACCCAATAACATGACACCAACATAATGCCCATTTTCCAGATTATTACTTGGTTTGCAAGCCACTAATCTTCTGGTGAAATATCTTGATGTGGAAACTGGAGATTATCTCTCTCCACTGCCTTGTATGGACTCCATCGTTAGAAAGGCCAATCAGTAGGTATCTTTCAGTAGTCACACTTTCAGCATCTCCTGCAATCTTCATAGAATTCCACTCCCATGCTGTCATACACATTTTACTGAAAAATAAGTTTGTGTTAAAAAGTCTTGCCTAGTTGTGTGTTGAGTCAAGATGGAGAGCTACGAAGCAAAGTCCATGACTTGACACTTCCCAGAGCTTGGTACAAAGAGGATTTCACATATTTAGAAGGTGTTGATGGGTGTTGAAAACAGCATGGCATCAAAATTACCCTATTAAAAAATGTAGACCGAGGGCTCACTGGAGCAAGAGTGAGATGTTCAGAATGATTAGAAGAAAGAAGTGGGAGGTGGAGAGGAGGGGGCGGAGGAGACAGCTGAAATCCAGTGGAATGCGAGGCAGCTGGATTGTGACTTAGTCAATTAAAAAATTGAAACCGGAAACAATTGCTAAATTTATTTTCTGGGTGTGGGCAATCGTTTTGTGTTCTCTGCCAAAGTGAGACTGAATTTCAGTGAATTCAAAAATATCTTTTAGTGTAGCCCCACAGGTTCCTGCAGTAGCTCTCTCTGGCTTGTATTCACCTCCTTCTGGCAAGCAGAATATGGAAAAGTTTTTACTTTTGATAAAGATCAAGAATATAGAACAAATCTGTGTCATCTAGGTTTACAGCCTCACTTGCAAAAATATTCCTCATTTATAAGAGACCTGTTATTTATCAACATTAGCTTGAGTTGTCACAATCTGCTGTATGAATGCAAGAAGCTTCATGTTTGCTCAGGAATAAAGCTTGTGGATATGCCATAGGTTTCCTTGTGGTTTCAGTTTTGCATTAAAAAGCTTTGAGCTGCAGTCGATACTTCCACCAGTCCACTAATGGCTACCTTGTCTATTGTTTTAGTAAGTGCACCTCGTGCTATTTCGGGCAGTAGTTCCCAACTGTCGGTCTGTGCTGGTGCCAATGAAGCTCTGGAGGCTGGGGCTAGGGTATGCCGCCCAGCACCTTCCCTCCCACCATGGCTTTTGAGAAAGGCGTGTCCTGCCCTGTGTCTCAGCCAACCAGTGCTGGACAGGGGTGGGGTCTCCTCCCGGATGCAGAAGAGCAGTTCACTGCACAGCGGGAGAGCCACACAGAGCCTGGCACGGCAGCCTTAGAGCAACTGTGACCTGTTCTGCAGTGCAGGGTTGGATGAGGCGGGTGGGGATAGTGCTGGGGGGCTCTGGGGATAGGACTAACATTGGGAACTGGGAGGATTTTGTGGGGCAGAGGGTGCAGTGAGGCTCTGGAAACAGGGCTGGCACTGGAGGGTCTGGTGGTGGGGTGCTCTAAGGGGCTGGCACAGGCATATGGGATGGGGGGCTGGCACTGAGGGGAGTTGGGTGCAGGAGACTCTGGGATCAATGGCTGGCATTGGGGGTTGGTGGAGGGGTGGGGAGCTCTAGGAATTAGAGCTGCCACAGGAGGTCTCTGGGGATGGGATGTACTCCAACCCCCAGAGCTGCCATGAACAGCTGGTTCTAGCTCCAGCAGCCGCCCATCACGTGATTACTGCTGGAGCTGAAGTTGGCTTTTCGCAGTGGCTCTGGGAGTTGGGGCTTTTGGTGGACCAGAAACATTTTATTTGCATGTTTGAATAATGAATGTGCAAATAAAATGATGCCGGTCTGCCACAAGTTTGTGAATGGGTTTGCTGGTCTGGGGTCTAAAAAAGGTTGGGAACCACCATCCTAGTGTATTGGATCAGCTTTGTATATGGAAGTTAGCAAAAGCCCTAAAGACTGAGGGGGAAAAATAACTTGCATTGTGTATTAACTCTTTAATGTGTAACATTTGCTTCTAAGCTGAGCATAACAGGGTTCAAAAAAGAACTAGATAAATTCATGGCAAATAGGTCCCTCAATAGCTGATTGCAAGGATAGACAGGGATGATGCCCTTAGCCTCTGTTTCCCAGAAGATGGGAATGAGTAACAAGCAATGGATCACTTGGGGGTATGTCTAGACTACATGCCTCTGGCGACAGAGGCATGTAGATTAGGCTACCGGGCATAGGAAAATGAAGCAGTGATTTAAGAGCCATGTAGATTAGTTTACTAGACATACCCAAATGAAGCGGCTATTTAAATAATCACCGCTTCATTTAAATTAAAATGGCTGCCACGCTGAGCCGATCAGCTGTTTGTCAGCTCAGCGCGCTAGTCTGGATGCTCTGCGGTTGACATCAAAGGCATTTGTCGACATCCCAGGTAAACCTCATCCCAGAAGGCATACCTGGGAGGTCGACAAATGCCTTTGATGTCGACCGCAGAGCGTCCAGACTACCGCGCTGAGCCGACAAACAGCTGATCGGCTCAGTGCGGCAGCCATTTAAATTTAAATGAAGCGGCGATTTAAATAATTGCCGCTTCATTTTCCTATGCTAGGTAGCCTCATCTACATGCCTCTGTCGTCAGAGGCATGTAGTCTAGACGTACCCTTGATTCCCTGTTCTGTTCATTCCCTCTGGGGCACCTGGCACTGGCCATTGTCAGAAGCCTGCATACTTGGCTAGATGGACCTTTGGTCTGACCTAGTATGACCGTCCTTATGAAAACCTGTATATAGAAATGTCAAAATGATTTTTTATCGATGATTTATAAACTGCTGAAAAATAAGGGCTTACAGAGAATCTCACAGCATCTTAACTGCAGCTGTGCTAATGATGGTGTTGCAGAACAGAGGTGAGTGTAAAATCTGATCCATTTTTTAATTTTGTTTTAAAGAAGCCCTTTATTCACAGCCAGAGAAATGTGTTTTATATTTTATTACCTGGCAGTAGGAATGACATCCGGTGGCTAATCCAACTGAATCCAAAGCACTCATTCCCTGTTCTTGTTCCAGTGGATGCATCCATGTTTCCCACTACTGCTATTGAAAGGTGGCAGCCAGAGCTAATTAAAACATCCTTGTACAACAATGAAGGTGAAATGATGAAGCACACATCACTGTTGTTCTCTTCCAG